ACTGCTAAACGAATTGACTAGAATGAAATTTTTCCCAAGAATACACTCTGTCAAAAAATTATAGACGCACCCTGTTTTTTGCTAGTTTAGAGCCGGACATAAGTGCTAGTCCAGTGAAAAGTATTTTTTTAGTTTCTTTAATGTAAAAAACAAGCCATGCAAAATTTCAAGTCATTTCACTCATCCAAAGTACTTTATCGTACAAAAAGCGTTTTATCAGCTGTCAAAAATTATAGACGCACTTTTATTTTATCAACAAAAAGTTAACAGAAATAAAAATAACAACGCAAACCAAATAAATTAATAATGTGTGGCCCCTCCTTGCTTTAGTCCAACTTCAAAAAGACGTCTCGGCATCGAAGAGACAAGGTCATGGAGCACTGTTGGCTGAAGCCGATTCCAGGCTACTTGAATGGCTTTCTTGAGTTTATTCACGCTCGAATATTGCTTGTTTCCCTTGTAGACATCTCGAACGAGTGTCCCCCACACATTCTCAATCGGGTTCAAGTCTGGGCTGCAAGCGGGCCAAGCGATAGTGCCGATTTTGTGCGCTGTCAGCCATGCTCTTCTGGAGCAACTTGCATGAATATCGTGCATAAAAGTAAAGTTATTGCCCGGATTGTTGTTTAGATAGGCGGCTAGATGTTTGACCAACCCTTGTTGATAGTCAAGCGATGTCATCCGGGTCGAAATAAACTCTAACCCGACCAGTTCGCCGTCTCGAAAGGCTCCCCATACCATACATGATCCACCTCCGAAGTTCCTCGTGCTGAAGACCATGCCCGGCTTCCGCAAATCCTTCCAATATCCTCGAAAACCATCAGCACCATCAAGGTTGAACTTCTTTTCGTCACTCCAAATGATCTAAACATAAAATATATAAGAAATACTAGTAAACCAACTCCTTCCCATTTGGTCTTCTGGTTCTTTTGAGCAAAATCGATACGGGCGGCTTTATGGTCCTTTGTAAGTCGTGGAGCTTGCTTCATGAGTTTGTATTTGAGTATTGTAGATCGTTTGACAACGTTGTGCACAGTTTGGAGAGTGACCGGAAGCTTCATCTCCTTGCGAACCTCTTCGAGTGATGTCGTCGTGTTGGAAAGACGTCTCGTAATTGCGCGTTCGTCTTGATCGGTCAACTTTTTCTTCCGGCCCCGTGTTTCTTTCTTCTTAGGAGTCACTTTGGTCTTGAGATACGTGCGAATACACTTCTCAGAACGTCCGATGCGATGAGCAATGTCCGTTTTGAGTGACCAATCGTGTGGAGCACATCGATACGTGTTTTTTCCACCACATCCAGTTGTTTTCCAAGTGGCCTATCTGAAAATGTAAAAACATTTATAAACATAACTAATAAGCAAAAAAATGAGAAAAACTAACAATTATTGATAGAATAAATCGTCAAATAAAAGTGCGTCTATAATTTTTTGACAGCTGATAAAACGTTTTTTGTACGATAAAGTGCTTTGGATGAGTGAAATGACTTGAAATTTTGCATGGGTTGTTTTTTTTACATTAAAGAAACTAAAAAATACTTTTCACTGGACTAGCACTTATGTCCGGCTCTAAACTAGCAAAAAACAGGGTGCGTCTATAATTTTTTGACAGAGTGTACAGGAAAGGGGCGCGTTTTAAAACGCGTCATCAAACGGCCTACGGTAGAATGTACACAAAACCAGCACGGCAAAAATGTTAATGATTGAGGATCTATAGAAAGCTCTATAGATCCTCAATCATTTCTACAAATTTGGTTCCATTTCGCTACAAATTTGGTTCCTTTTCGCTACAAATTTGGTTCCTTTTCCCTCAGAAAAAACTCGTGTCTGTTCGTTTCTTGACATTGAAAATTTTGATGGATTGTTTTAACGAAGAGATCAAATGACTTTTGCCGGAGATTCCGGGTTTAGTTTGGTTTTTTCGAAAAGAAACCGTTTGCAAAGTTTTCTCATTAGTTTCAAAGTCTCTGGAAAAGTTTGTGATTCTCAATTTTAGATCAGGAAATTTTCGATATCCATTTCCTTTTCAATTTCTCCAATTCCGTGACTCTTTTTATTCTAAAAGAACAATAGATCTCTCTGAAATGATCTCTCTCTCCTCGACAATGTTCCAGATCATCAACACGAGTTATTTTTGTTTTCACGTAAAGGTTTTTTTGAGGATTTTTTCAAATTTTTCGTTCATTTCCGCACACCATTTCTTTTCATTTTCATTTTTAATTTACCTTACAATGCTTTGAGTTTAAATTTGTGAATGTACAAGGTAAGTAAATGTTTTCAGATTTTTCAAAGCAAGGATATGATGCTGAGTGAAAAAATGGCTCTAGGATATGACTCATAGCAAGGATATGACCAATTCAGTGCACCAGAAATGGTGTGTTTATATGGTTTATGCAGAGAAGCGTTCTCCTCTAAAGTGATCTCATCGAAATCCCTTCCGAAACGAGAACCATTCTTATTTAGCTAAAGCATTTACTTCTTCGGTACTTGTCGGTTCTACATCCACAGAGAATCTGTGGATGTAGAACTCAACTCGGTTAAGCAAGGAGCTGACAACTTGTGAGTGGTGATTATGTTCAGTGAAAGTAGAGTGCTCGTCTGAAGTGATCAGTCGATCAGTGGAACGAAAATCGATAACCGAGAAGACTTGGATGGGGATGCTTCACCAAGATCAGTCTTTGTGAATGTATAACCGACAAGTACCACTTCTTCAAGTTTATTTGTCTATATCTAAATCTTAAATCAGGCACAGAGTATTTGAAGCAAACCAAGGCAGGGTATAGTGCGGCTAAGATGTTCCCAGTTAGATTCAGTTAAAAGCTGATCCAGTTAGAACCCAGATATTGTTCTAAATTTATGAAGATTTCATTGAATTCCAGTTTACTACTAACCATTCTGAAGTCGGTAAGTAGTGCAGTGTAGCGTACCGTGGAGAAATATATAGACTGACAAAATTTCTTTGTCCATTTGGCAACGATTTGATCTCATCAACGAGCTCCAGGCTACCTTTACAGTACCATAAAATTGTCTCGCTGGGTGCAGAGCTGTTCCAAGGCTTTCTGTAATAAAGTAAAAAAGTTCATGGCAAAAATTTTGGAAAGAATGGGGAATTGAGCCACCGACCCTCCGCTTAGCGGAGAGATGCTCTACCACTGAGCTATTGTCATCTTCTTTGGACGAGGAGAAATAGGAAACATAAGGAAGAGTTCGAAGAGATTGATGAAATTGAAGAATAAGTCAAATTAAGTCAGAAATGAGATCTAACGCCTCTCTCGGCTCTTTTAATTTTCGTAGATCAAAACCGGGCTAGTCTTTATCATTTCTAGAATTCATTATGTCCAAGAGAATCTCAATAAACCATAGTATCCTTTTTTTCGCGTCAATGTCAATAAGATTTCTTATCAAATTACCGATGTATCGATGTGGAAAGAGATTTTTGAGCTACAAAAAAAAGAAATTTGGAAAATGGAAAAAGTTTTCGATTCAAGGCCGTTTTTCTCAACGCCCACGGATTTTTTCGGGTTTTTCCAATCGAAAACCATTATCTCTCAGCTAAATGGATCGTTTTTTCCAAAAAAAAATAGTTGATCAACGTTAACTCTTTGGGGAATTGCTTGGGGTTTTGTGGGGGAGGGGAATTTTTGCAAATTTAGGCTCAATTTCAGCTCAATTTCAGCTCAATTTGGATTCAATTTGATTAGTGACTCACTCGGGAGATTTTAAATCAAAAAATTTTGTTTATAATTGAGCATTTGATGCTTAAATGCTTGATTGTTTCTTTGTTTTTTTTCCTCTTTTTTTTCTTGGTGTTTCATTTCTTTAAAAGCTCTTTGACTTTTCAGTTTCCCTGTGAAATGGGTCGTTTGCAAAGAGTGTGGAAAATCGAACATCGGAATCGAGAATTCGAGTATCGAGATGTGAAATATCTCTTTAAATGTTGTTGCTGTTGTGGAATGCATATTAAGGTTAAGAAATGATTCAACCAGGCATTCAGAGAGCCTAGAAATAAAGGGTTTGAAAGGGTTTACATGAAATACATGTAAACGATTAGATTCTGAAAGGTTGACTCTAAGAATTTGGCGTTCTAATGAAAAAAGTCATTGTTTAATTGTTTAAAAAAAGCGCCGATCTTCCCCACTTTTCAATCATTTTTTTCTAAGCGCTGGTTAATGCTAAATAATATGTGTTATATCTCGAAAAATTACCCATTCTCTGGACATTAATTTGATACCAAAGCGCGCAGAAGCAAATGTCTGCGTGTCGAGATATGAGCGGTTCTTTGAGTGTAAAGTGGCAAGAAAAGCCGATTTTCCCCACTTTTCAATCATTTTTTTCTAAGCGCTGTCTGATGCTAAAAATAAGTGTTATATCTCGAAAAATTACCCATTTTCTATACTTTAATTTGATACCAAAGCGCGCAAAAACCAACGTACTAGTGTCGTGATATGAGCGTTTGTTTAAGAGCATACTTAGACGACGCAACGCTCCTATAGTGGGGTCACTTTATTCCAGCATTACCTTATTTATCTTCTACTTTACTCTTCCTTGGTCAAGCCAAAAATTGCTTTTGAAACAATCTTCTAGGTCCTGATTTACTTACCGTAAATACTGTAATAGTACCCCATCCCCATAATGACGGTGCGGAGTGTTGCGTAGTCTAGCTTTGAACGCGTTTTTCTCGACACTGGTTTATGCGAGAATGCGCGCTTAGGTATCAAAAAATAGCTGAAATTCAGGGCTTTTTTTGATATCAAAGACATATTTTTTGAAAGTACGGGCGCTTTGAAAAAAAATGAAATACTAAAAAACTTTTGCGACTACGCGACTGTACGAGGGGCGGTGGGGTACTATTACAGTATTTACAGGTAATTGTAAATCCCGATTAGAATATTAAATGATAGGTGAGCTTTGGGAACATTTCGTATTGTGTATTCCCCGAGTTTTCAGCACGCCAGTTGTGTCGTCCTAATCCTGAACATTCTACTCATTTTCTATCACGTCGCAATGCTTTTCGTTGGCGCATTGGATCCGTGGAAAGTTCGTGAGAATAAAATATTTGCTTTTAAACTTCAAAATTCAACTTCAATTTCTTCAATTTTCTTCAAACTTTCAGGTTCTTTTCATCCCGCTGGAGTGCTTGAGTTCGATCGTTCTTTTCTGCGGTCTTGTCATCGAGGCGAAGAACTCGTTGTTGCCATTTTTATTCATTCAGGTAGAAAAAATGGCTATTGATTGATGTTATTGATTATAAAATGTTCAGGGTTTCAAAATCTTCGTTATTGGCAACAATTTGTATCAAGGGATTGAGGGAATGTTTGATTGGGGATCCGAGAAAATGATGGAAGCAAGGTGAAGGGAAAACGGTTTTGCCAATTATGATAATTGTGGCCTGGGTTAGACAAAAAGGAGAACTTTGAGTAATTTAAGATACAAAGACAAGGACAAGACAAGGCGAAGGCTTAAAATCCCAATTCTCTTATTGTAATCTGATCTGATCTAATGATTTTATTTGATTTACAGACTTTTCAAAGCCAAGCCATCTGCCAAGCCACAAAGAAAAAAAGCAATGGAATACAAAGAAATAATGAAAATTTCAGACGAGAGCTTGAATCCGCCGGCAGTCCCGATTTCGATGATCGAAGTAAGTGAAATACCACAAAATATCTAAATGATTGAAAAAAAATCTTCTAATAAAAGAAATTCATTATTCTACGATTGATTAGCTCTTCAATTTCCTATTCTCAAACTTGAATCGATTTCTAGAATTGGCACGAATCCACTACGGGATCTGGCTTGCGGCAAACTATGGAACGGCGATCATCTGCTATCTTTTCTTTTTCTATATAGTTTGGCGGTGAGTGATGGTTTAAAAGATATTTCATTTACAATAATCAATAGCCTAAATGTGCAAAGTATGAAAGAATGTTATTTATTGTATCAGAAATGATTTGTTTACATTTTGCAAGTAATTCACAGCGACATGGTGCTTGCTTATGACCTTAAGATTTTGTTGAATCATTCTCATACGCTTACAGCTCTTAGACTTTCAATCGATCTATTTCTAGATCAAAGTGCTAATTTACATCTAGTACCAGACTGGAGTTAAACCAGATTAGCACTTAGCCGTTTAAGCTTAAGCCTAAGCCTAAGCCTAAGCCTAAGCCTAAGCCTAAGCCCTAAGCCCTAAGCCTAAGCCCTAAGCCCTAAGCCCTAAGCCCTAAGCCTAAGCCTAAGCCATAAAATGCCTGACTGCTAAAGAACCTGATATCTACTTAAAAATCTGCCAAAACACTCTATTAGTCTAACTTAAGAGCTAGACCTTTTAATAGTAATAGTTTTCGAATAACTATATTACCGTATTCTCTCTAATAGTAGTCTAATAGTAGCGTTGCCTAAATTCCTCGTAATCTCGAGAAGCGCTTATCAGAACCTATCGATGTGGCTGACAATGTAGCTGACGATGAGCTCTAGTGGGGGATTTGAGTGTTGAGCTTCTGCGGAAACTTAGAAACTGTAAAATAGTCACCAACTCGGCTCGCCCGGGTGCACTACTATTAGAGAAAATAAGGTAGGTTGAAAAGGAAGTTTAAGAAGGAAGAAGAACGGTATTTATTTTTAAGATGTCGTCGTTATTTTGCCGATTTGGCTCACGTTCTATCAGCAGATGAGCAACAAGAAGTTGAAAAGGGAAAAGACAATGAGGCGATCGCTTAATTTTCTATTTTTTTACAGTTTTGACAATAAAATATTTATAAATCAAATCAATAAACAAAGGTTATCACAAAGGAAAGGGTTAAAAATTGTTTAGGAAATCGATAAATTATTTAAAATTATTGAAATAGTCAAATCTTTCAAGCAAAGAATAGAGATTTTGATGTGAAAGGCGGCGCATTTACCCCTGCAAAGTTCTAAGAGAAAAAAGATCTTAAAGAACAGATAAAGATTAGATAAAAGATTAGATAAAAGATTAGATAAAAGATTAGATTAAAGAATAGATATTAATCTTTATCTAATCTTTTATTAATCGAAATCTTTTTCATCATAACTTCTCTCCACGGGTACATGGGTGTACTGTTTTTGTCTTTTCACTAAAAATACACAAACGAGAAGAGACAAAAAGGTGAAAATGGCAATGGAAATTGTGACTAGAGGTATGGTTAGAGAAGAAAAATGAAGGAAATCGAAAAAATTAGAGCTTTTCTTTCGTTTTCCGATCCAACTCTCGATTTCGAAACGATTTTTCGGACAATTGCTGAGAAGAGAGAAAAGATCGTTTTTCACCTACAATTTATCAAAATCAATCAAATTATTTTGACTTTTTTAAAATAAAAAGTGTTCAACTGTTTTTGGGGCAAATATTTAAATGATATTAATGATCTATCCTGATTCTAATTCTAATCCTAGTTCTAATTCTAATCCTAATCCTAATTCTAACCCTAATTCTAATCCTAATCCTAATTCTAATCCTAATTCTAATTCTAATTCTAATCCTAATTCTAATCCTAATCCTAATTCTAATTATCGATAATATCGCTCTAATTGATATTGGCATTCAATTTGTTATTCGTTTGCTCTTTCTGTTTGCTTTTGCATTCAAGAATTTCAAGAAGGTCTAATTACATAATTCAATAATAATAATAATTAAGTAATTAGATCTACCGTAAATACTGTAATAGTACCCCACCCCCATAATGAGGGTGCGGAGCGTTGCGTAGTCTAGCTTTGAACGCGTTTTTCTCGACACTGGTTTATGCTACAATGCGCGCTTAGGTATCAAAAAATAGCTGAAATTCAGGGCAACTGTTTCATACCAAAGACGCTTTTTTGATGCCAAAGATAATGACGGTGCGGGGTGTTGCGTAGTCTAGTTTTGAACGCGTTTTTCTCGACACTGGTTTATGCTACAATGCGCGCTTAGTTATCAAAAAATAGCTGAAATTCAGGGCTATTTTTTGATACCAAAGACGCATTTTTTTGAAAGTACGGCGCTTTGAAAAAAATGAAATACTAAAAAACTTTTGCGACTACGCGACTGTACGAGGGATGATGGGGTACTATTACAGTATTTATGGTAAGAAGTACGGATATGCGCCAGCTCTCGGGACTCAGAGATCCAGTGGAAGTGATCGAGAGAAAAAGACTCAGATGGGCCGGCCACGTAGCCAGAAGAGCAGACGACAGATGGACGATACGGATCACAGAGTGGCTACCACGAGACCAGAAGAGGTCCATCGGAAGACCAGCAACGAGGTGGCAGAGACGGTCAGAGAAAGAGTGGGTCAGAAGAGTGGTAGAGACGGTCAGAGAAAGGATGGCTAGAGTGCCACCACCACCAGCACAAGCAAGTCGAAGACTTCGAACCAGGAACAACCAAGATAGGAAACACTGGATGACAATAGCAAGGGATAGAGAAAAGCAGGTTATGATCTGCGCAAATAGGAACATCTAAGTGCGAAGACAGATCAAAAAAAATGTAATTTGATATCCAAGGAAAGAAAGAGAGTTTAAAAGAAAAAAATCTTTAAAAAGCTTCTTTTTCTTATTCGATTGAAGCTTTTCTGTACTTTGTACTCAAAAAAAGAATCTTTTCTGTAATTTGTGCTCAAAATCTTGTAAACACACTCTTTCTGGTGCACCTTAACTCTTGATTTTCTCGTAAAATGAAAGAAAAATGAATAGCTGAGTGCACAAGAAGGGCTGCGTTTACACTTCAAAAAGTAAATCAAAACAAAATCTTTTCCCAACCTTGATTGAATATTTCTTTTGATAATGCAAACATCGATCCGTTTTGAAGGTTTTTCCATGAATTTTACCTAAATTTAACACAAATCTACCGTAAATAATCAAATAGAAAGCTGCTTTTTTAATGATGAGCGTACACTTGTGTAGTCTAACTTTGAACATGCCGTTCTTCGCACTGCTTTATGCTACAGTGTTTTAAATGATGTCAAATGATAGCCCTTGAAATCTAGTATGTTTTGGTACTAAAATTATAGTTGGGAAATGAAGAGGCTGAGAAAATACAAATGATTTTCTAGAAAGAAGTTAAACAACACGACTATAAGAGGAGATAGTGTTTTATTAGAGTATTTATTTGCTTGTTATCTACTAGTTCATTTGCTAGTTTATCTACTAGTTATCTACTAGTTTATTTGCTTGTTATCTGCTTGTTATCTACTAGTTTACCTGCTTGTTATCTACTAGTTTACCTGCTAGTTTATCTACTAGTTTATCTACTAGTTTATCTACTAGTTTATCTGCTAGTTTATTTGCTTGTTTATCTACTAGTTTATCTGCTTGTTATCTGCTTGTTATCTACTAGTTTATCATCTAGTTATCTACTAGTTATCTACTAGTTATCTACTAGTTTATCTACTAGTTTATCTGTTATTTTTCTATTGAAATCTATTACCGGTAACTATGTATTCTCCTTGAATTTTTGGCAACATAACACTGCAAATCTCTGTTAGATCGTAGTTCAAGATTTTCGATTTTCTGAACTGATCATCGAGTGTCGAATTGTCGAATGTCTAAATGAACTTTTGAATCAAATTACAAAAATGTTTCATACAAAGATCGTTCCCAAATACTCTAAACGGGTCGAAGTGATGTTTAGATGAAAATCTGAAAAGTTTACATATCATTTTTGATTCTACAAGTAGATTCATCAACAGCTAGTTTTTCTTTGATATTTCTTTGATATTTCCTTGCATTCCTAAGACTTTTCTTACTCTAAAAGTGTACTTTGTGCTGCTGAATGCGTGCACTAGAGTGTGTTCCTCGCCAGTAAGTAATTACCCGAGTAAATTTGCATGAGTAATTTTTACTCGAGTAATAGCTCGAGTAATAGCTCGAGTAATAGCTTGGGTAATAGCTTGGGTAATTGCTCGAGTAATAGCTCGAGTAATGCGTTTTCTAAAAAGTGCGCCTGCGCGAAAGAAATATAAAAGCAATTTTTTGAGCAGGTTTTTCAAAAAAAAATCCCTTTTCACATTGGAAGGGAATTTGCCACCAAATCAGTTAAACGGCTGAGTATCTTTAAAAAGTGTCGTATATAATGCGGGGCTCGTCATTTTTTTTGCAATAATTTGCTTTTTTGCAATAATTTTTGCTAAATGCTTTAGATCTAGTGGCTCTTTGCCGTAAGTAATTGGCTTATTGATTTCAGTATGTATTGTATGATTAAGTATCACTGTGCATTTCTCTATGATTTCTTTCACTTTATCGTTTGAATAAAGTATTATTATTAAAAGGACGGTAATTTTTTCCCTAGTGCACGTTTTAAAAAACGCATTACTCGCGAGGAACACACTCTATTAAGAGCTAACAACAACTCAACTTATAATTTAGTTACATAGTTATACTTATAAATAGTTACAAGTCTTTGTGCTGCTCAATGCGTGCACTCTTTGACTGATGCACTCAATTTTTCCACACCAGCCACTTGATGCCAAAAGAAAATGGGGAAACAAGTGCACCAGGAGGGATGCGTTTAGAAGATTTGATCACAAAATACAGTTTCGGAAAAGCCTAATATAGATTAGTTGGAGTTTATGTTTGAATCAAAAGATCAGGAGGGATGCGTTTGCACAAAGTACACCAAAGAACGAGTTGAACTTGGATTTCGTCTAGGTTATGAAATTAATTAAAGAAAATTAAAGAAAATTAAAGAAAATGAAGCAAAATTAAAGAAAAATAAACAAAAATAAACAAAAATAAACAAAAATCAACAAAAATAAACAAAAATAAACAAAAATAAACAAAAATAAACAAAAATAAACAAATTAAACAAAAATAAACAAAAATAAACAAAAATAAACAAAAATAAACAAAAATAAACAAAAATAAACAAAAATAAACAAAAATAAACAAAAATAAACAAAAATAAACAAAAATAAACAAAAATAAACAAAAATAAACAAAAATAAAGAAAATTAAACGGCTAGCTTGAAAAACTTGCAATCATTTTTCCGGCACAACTCAAATTTCCTGCTTTTCTTCAAATCTTCCGGGATTTCCGAGATTTCGGAAACTTTTTGACATTCGCATTTCGAGCTTTTCCCTTCAGTAGGTAATATTGAATAGAATTGTAAAATTGATAATAGAAAATAGAATCGATAGAAAAATCGATATTCACTTGTCATTTATACAAACCGAATCTGGAATTAGTTTTTTGGCAGCGCTGAATCACAAAATGAATCATTTTTTCGGAAAAAAAAACGGGGTTTCTTGAGGGAAAATAGAATAATTTTGTGTAAATATTATATTTGTAAACTTGAAATAGATTTTTTGAGTTAATGAAGTGGCATTGGATTAACGGCATTAACAAATTACAAGTTTTGTCAATGTTTTAACAAAAATTTGAAGAGAAAGGCTCACAGATTTATGTGAAATAAAAGCTTTGAATATTAAATGTGAACAAGTATTGTAAGTGGGATTTCAGTATTTCACTATTCAGCTAACAAGTATTGTAAGTAGAATTTGATAGTTTATCCGCTTACTTTATCACCTTTTAGTTGAGTGGGGTAGTTAGAAAAGAAGGAAAGGAAAGACAAGTTCAATTTTAATGAGAGCAAATTTGAATTCGAAACTAAGAATGAAAGTAAAAAGTAATAAGAAAAGAAAAGAAAAGAAAGAAAAACAATCATTTGGATATTTTCTATGTGACGAATTGTCATTTGAAAAAAAAAGCGCGAAAAAAATTCTATTTG